ACCCTCTGTCAGATGTGGGATTAGTGAATATATTTTCCCATTCTGTGGGCTGCCTTTTTGTCTTGCTGACTGTGTCCTTTGCCTTACAGAAGCTTCTCAGTTTCAGTAGGTCCCATTTATTAATTGTTGATCTCACTGTCTGTGCTACTGGTGTTATTGAACTAATCTTCTTGATCCCATTTTCCAAGCCCTGATATGACAGGAATGCACCACCATGCCTCAATGGGAGGATATCATTATTATTTCATTTTTGTTCATTAATTTTCTGTTTTAAAGGGAAATACAGGGGGTTTCTGCTTTAATGGGTACAGACTTTCACTGTAGGAAGAGAAAACAGCATTGGAGACAGACAGTGGTCACAGTTGTACGCACTGCCAATGCACTAATGGCTGTGAACTGTATTCCTAAAATGGCTAATGTGCTGAAAGATAAGTTTTCTGTATTTCAGCACAATAGAAAAGAAACAAATATGGATCTTGATTTCTCATGGGCTATGGTTTGAATGTGTTCCCCCGAATTTCATGTGTTGGCTTGGTAGTGTGCTTGTCCAATCTGTACAGAGCCCTCAGTTAGATCAGTATAACATAAAACTGAGTGTGTGGGTTTTCTTGTGGCGTCCTTGACCTCTCTGAGTCCTACAATCCTTTCTCTCCTTCTTCTTCAGGATTCCCTAAGTCCCACTGAATGTTTGGCTGTGGGTCTCTTCATCTGTTTCCATCAGTTGCTGGATGAAGCCTCTCTGATGACATTTGGGCTAGGCATCAGTCTATTAGCATACCAAAATATCATTAGGCATCATTTCATTGACATTTTTTTCTCTAGTTGTGCTTGGTTCTATCCTAGGTCTCTGGGTTCATCCAGCCTGTGGGTTCTGGTGCCTCAGGCAGTGTCAGGGGTGGGATTTCTCAGTCATTGGTTGGCTAGTCCCTCAGTCTGCAGGCCATCCTAGCACATCCCTTAGGCAGACTGTAGGTAGAAGGTTATGTGGCTCAGTTAGTGTCCCAATCCCTCCACTTGAAGTATTGTCTCATCACAGGATATGGTCAGTTCATGCTACATATCCCTTATTGCTAAACTGCTCCATAAGAGGAATTCAAAGCCTGGTCAAAAGGCAATGATTTGGGAAGTCACGGCCCTACCTACCACCATTGTTTTGCTAAATGGACATGCTTCGAACTGCCTTTTAAATAAATATTTTTGGTGATACTCTTTGATTAATGTTTTCAACCCCAGCCAGAGAAACTTCTACAGTAGAGAGCAGTTAATGCAGAGATTCACAATTGGTCCAAGTGCTGAGAATAAATGATTGTTGAGTGCTTAGTTCTAAATGGGACATCTGTACCAAGCTCCCCAAGGCTCAGCAAACATCCTGAAAAAGAGTGGAAAGTATATAAGAGCTGAAGGATGGGGAGGAGTGCTATGAGATGTTCCATTCCAGAAGTGGAACAGCCACTGCCTATTTGACCTCTATGCAGTTACCATTACCTGCACAAGACTCTGGGTTCCTAAGAGCTTCTGCACTGACACCTGACCACCTGCCCCTCTCTAGTGATGGTCCAATTGTGGTTCTTCCAGGAGTCTGATGTTTCTATACAGGACTCAGTGTTGTCCCTGGGGATGAAGGATTTCACCCCATCTTGTAGCACAGTGCTTGTTCAGTTGTGGCCATGTCTGCACTTCCTGGTCAGGTGGGCCTGCCATTGCTCTTGTCTCTTGCTTCCTGCTGTAACCCATCTATTTGGAGCTCCTGTAACTTCTAGTTCTCTATCCAGTATCTGATCTTCAGCTTCTAATGCTCAGAGTGCTAATGGTCTGGTGGTGCCCTGTCAGCACCTTCAGAATCCACTACTGGAAGCATCTTCACCGGCCACACCTTGACCTCAACAGAATGGTCATAGCAGGTCCTAGGACTTTGAGCAGGTAGAAACAGCACCAGGGCCTGGTGTTTGTCACCCAGGCTGCTAGGCCACTCAGTGCCATCACTACATCCAGTGACTTGACTTTTAAGGCCTGGCAAATACATTTAAAACAGAGAAACTCTTCATTGCATGCACTGAAATCAATCAAATGGTAAGAGGCCAAGTCAGAAAAGCAAATGTGTGGTGAGGGCCAGAACAATCAAGACTGCCCTAAGTCTGCTGGAAGTTTGGCGAAATAGCCCCAGGTCTCTGTGCTTATAAAATGTAACTATTATTTTCCTATCATTGTTCATTTAGTTCCTACTGAATGTTTTGGTACCAATAGATGAAAGGACCTTGTAGGAAGATCAGCAGGCGTTAGAATCTGTCCCCTGCTGTCAAGTGTGGGCTCATAGCAGGATGTTGTACTTCAATGGCTTGAAGAGAATGGCAGAAACTCCCTCCCACCCTTCTAGAACACACAACCAGGACTCTAAGCAAATAACTCTACTTCAAATCCCCCTGCAATTGCAAAGAATTCCAGATGTGCACAGCTGGATTTTCAGAATAACAGGGAGTTGATGTCCACTCTCTCTGAGTTTACCACTTACTCTTTCCATAGGACTCACTAGGAGAACTAGATAGGCCCTGCCCATGTTTTAAACAAAGCTGACATCTCTTTTCTGTCCTGTCTTTCGAGATCCTAGGACATCATATATAGGGAGCATCTCAGCCCTCAATGGGATTAAACCTGTTCGGTTTTATTTTATAAGTGCAAAATTGGGCACTCTGAAGGGAAAATGACATGAGGTTCATTGGAAACTCCAAACACTAAAGGGTAATGGGCATCCAGACCCAATACAGATCCTCGGTAAATACTGGAGCTGGATGGATGAAATGGAGAAATGAGGTGAACAAGGCTCATTCATCTCATTTAGAGTTAGAGTTCTCTTTCATGGTGTACGGATGTGTTGGTTAGTTTTTTGTCAGCTTGCTAGAGTCATATGAGAAGAGGGAACCTCAGCTAAGAAAATGTCCCTGGCTGAAAAACACTTTAGGAGATGTTCAACATCCTTAACAACCAGGGAAATGCAAATCAAAATGATTCTGAGATTCTACCTTACATCTGTCAGAATGGCCAAGATAAAAAACACAAGTGACAGCTCATGCTGGAGAGGAAGTGGGTAAGGGGAACACTCCTCCATTGCTGGTGCAAACTTGTACTTTGGAAGCTGGTGTGGTCGTTGGGAATCAACTTACTTCAAGACTCGCCTATAGCACTCTTGGGTATATACCCAAAGGATGCTCAATCATACCACAAGGACTCTTTCGCAACTATGTTCATAGCTTTATTGTAATATCTATAACCTTTAAACAACCTAGAAGTCCCTCAACTGAGGAGTAGATAAAAAATATGATACATTTATACAATGGAATATTACTAGCTGTTAAAATCCAGGACACCAGAAGGCGAATGGATGGAACTAGAAAACATCATTCTGAGTGAGGTATCAGATTGAGAAGGACCAGCGTGGTATGTGCTCGCTTATTAGTAGACAGTAACTGTAAAATAAAGGATAACTATGCTACAATCCACAGACCCAGAGAGACTAGATAATAAGGAAGGTTCATGGCGCGGGGTGTGGGGAGGGCACACAATTCCTGGATCTCCCTGGGAAGGGGAAATAGAAAAGATTTCCTAAGTGGACTGAGGGTGAATGGGGAACGTGACTGATTAGGTTGAGGTCTAGCGGGGGAGAGAGTACTGAAAGAGACCACTGCAAAGGTAAGGTGTTTTGGGATCAGGCAAAAACCTGGCACAAGGAATCTTAGTCCCAGCTAAGACTCCTAGAAATAATGGATAAGCAGCCTGGACTGGCCATCTCTCATGACCAAATTGGTGTCTAGCCCAATTGTCATCAGAGAGGTTTCATCCAGCAAACGATAGAAACAGATGCAGACCCACATCCAAGCATTAGGCAGACTTTGGGCCATTTTGTAGAAGAGGGGAAGAAAGGGTTGTAAGAGCCACAACTAACCTGGGCTCACAGGGGCACAAAGAGACTGAACCAACAACCAGGGAGTCTTCACAGGACTGACCTAATCATCCTGTACATATGTTACAGTTGTGTAGTCTGGTCTTCTTGCGGGGCTCATAACAGTTGGGAACAAGAGCTCTATGCATCTCCTTACTGGCTTTTGGGACCCTACTCCTCATATTGGGTCACCTTGACCAGCTTTAATAGATGGCGAGGTGCTTAGTCTTACTGAAACTTGATATGCCCTGTTTTATTAATACTCATAGGAGACTTGCCTTTTCCTAAACAGAAATGGAGGAGTGGGTTAGAGGGTGGTAATAGAGGGCTGGGGTGGAGACTGAGAGGAGAGGAGGGAAAGGAAACAGTGGCTGGGATGTAAGATAAATAGATAGATAGACAAAGAAATAAATTCATTAGAAAAAAACCCAAAAATGTCCACGGCACTTTGGCCTAGGGGCAAGCCTGTGGGGCATTTTCTTCATTGATTTCTAATGTGGAAGAGCGCAGACTACTATGGACAGTGCTATCCCTGGGCAGGTAGTCCTGACTTGTATAAGAAAGCAAACTGAACAAGCCAGGAAGAACAAGCCAGTAATCAGTGCTCTTGCATGGCCTCTGCTTCAGTTCCTAGCTTGAGTTCTTACCTTACCTCCTCTTCACAATGAACTCCAAGTTGTAAACTCCGATATACCCTTTCCTCCCCAAATTGCTTTTGGTTGTGGTGGTTTATCACAGCACTATAAAGCAAACTAAAAAAGGGGGAAATCAGAATATCATCTCAGGATTGATGACAGAGTGGCAAATCCCTAAAGAGGGCACAGTGCAATTTTGTGCCCTAGTGGAGTCCCTGCTGTGAAGCCTGCAGGGACCTTCCCTGAGCTCAGCAAGGCACTGATGCTGGAAATACTATAAAAGGAAAGAGCGATTCTGCACAATTGGAAATGAAATCACTTCAAGGAGAAGCAGTTCTTAGATGATGGGGCTGGGGAGGGGTGGGGAGGAGGATGTACCCAAATAGGCTTGGAAATGGAATGCCTAAGCCAGCTGAGAAGGTACAAAACCATGACTGCAAAGAAGAGCTTTTATTCGTTTGGTCTCACAAGGCAAAAATAAATAAATAAACAAACAAACAAACAAAAAACAAAGGCAATCATTACAAGAAGCATGGTCATTACGTAGCGATAGTACATTCGTGGCATGATGGATCCTGTCTGGTCATAACTGCACCTTGGGTTCACTCAGGTTCATCATCAGGCTGATTCTACATGGTGTTCTTTGTACCTATTTGTGTGGCTATTATGGCACTCTGGATTTTATATCCTTTAGACACAACTATACGTATGCTTCCTCTAAAATTCCAAGAGCTCATTTTCTTTATGGGGGTTGGAGGTGGGGACTGCTAAGGAGGTAACCAGTTAACTCTCTCCATCCCCTCTCCCCTTCCCTTATTCTTGAGGTAGTTTATTCAGTAATTCAGGCTGGCCTTGAACTTGCTATGCAGATGAGGGTGATGTGCTAGGACTAAGGTGTGCACCACAATGCTTAGTTTATACAGTGCTGGGGAACAAACCCAGAGCTTCATGAATGCTAGGCAAGCAATCTGCCATCTAAGCTATATATCCTCAAACTTGGAATTAAAAATTCCTTTAAATTTAGGTGCCAGAAGCCTAATAGAAGCACAGGTGATCCTTGTTTCTTATCAATGCCACTGCTAGGAAGTCATCATTGATGTTAGAACTAGCTCTAACTTCTTCAGAGTACCTTCATAACTTTTTCATGTGTCTAAATAACCTCTGTGTCTTCACTGGTCACAAATATATAACATCACTTGTATCAGAATATTATGTTCTTATTAGTTATCACAAAAGCCAATGTACCTGTGCAGCCTTGGTTGAAAGTTGTTGAAAAAGATAACACGTTCACACTTTGCATAATAGGGTCTGGTCCCTCTGGATCAGCCCACCAGAACATGAAATATTCAATACATCTTGATATACAAATGTTAAATACAGAAATAAATTAATAAATACATAAATTATTTTAAATATTTAAATAGCATAAGGCCAGGCAGAGTGTTAAAATATCTATACATAAATTGGCTCATTGTCTCAGTGGGCATTTAACATTTAAATGTAGAAATATAGGAAAATATCATTATGAATATAAAAAACTGGAAAAAGTCAACCAAGTAGAAAATGGCTTTGGGGGTCTCTTCCATCATGAGTTTAAACTTTCTTTCTTAGAGTCTTCCATTTTTTCTTCTTTCACAGTCACATCCTGGGACTGGACCCTGCAAAGGAATGTAGGTAAGTCCATGTGAGTCGGAAGTGTAGCCCCTTATTTCTCAGCACACATTCTCCTCAGCCACTGGATCTTGGGGTTTCCACGTGAGAAGGCCCAGCCCTTCCTTATACAGCTAAGAATTCAGCTAGTCTTATGCTTGCCAGGGACTCTCTTCCCGAGAATTTTCTTAAAGGGGCATATTATTGGGCCATTTCTTTATTGAAATCACTTCAGTGGTCCCTAGAATCCCTAGGACTAGGTTCTACCTTCTGTCCACTCCCAAGTCCTTCTGCCTTTGACTCCTAACTGACTCCTGGTTTCCTCCCAATCTGGTTTCCCCTGTCTTCCCCCATACAAGGATAGGGCCCATGCCTGTTTTCTTTATTGCAGTGTCTGTGGGTCCAGGACAGTGCCTGAAGAACTAACATAGACATTAAATTAATATCTGGTAATGAACACATGTGTTTCCGACTCTGGTATCCCTATGCTAGGAACTACATCCCCTTCCCTCACAAGCCCCCCACCCCACATTGTTGTCCTCCATCAGGACCACTGAATGTGCAGGTGTGGCTGGGATTCACGGACCTGCTCACCTAACTGCAGGGCACAGATACCCATCTGCTCCACGATGAATTGTAGTAGTGATCCTGAGCTCGCACACGGACCTCTGCACCTTTGCTGCATCGGATTGTGGCAGAGGTCTTGTCTACAAACTGAGACTCATCTTTCTGCAAAGGAGAGGAAAAATGTAAGACCTTTAGGCAATACAAGGCAGGCTGGCATGTTCCTGCAGAACATGCCCTCCTTAAACATAGTGTTGTCTTAGTACGCTGCTGTTGCACCACCTGCTGGCAGAAACTGTTAACACAGGGGTGTGTGTGTGTGTGTGTGTGTGTGTGTGTGTGTGTGTGTGTGTGACTCCCACTGTGCCCCAATGCCAGTGTTGTAAGATTACACTTAGCTTTTACATAGTTTCTTGGAGTTAGAAACCAAGGAAGCACGTCCCTTACTCATCCATCTTCCCAGGCCTTACTTTTCTATTTAGTAAACTCCAACAGAAATAACTTGCTCCACCTTCTGTCTCTCCAAATAGCAGCCTTGTACGAAGGCCCCATGGGCAATGACTCCAGTATGAGGTTGATAATGGTGGGACCAACCGTTCTTAGCTGTCCTCTGACTGTCCAGAAATATCCTCCCCTGTGTCTGTCAGTTTACAAATGTGACTTCAAATCCTGGCAGTGCTAAGCAGCTTAATGCTTCAGGAACATTGGCTCTCTGTATCTCTCCTTATTTATGAATGGGGCCCATGATAATACCTGCCTCTAAGAATTGCAGCAGGTTAATAAAGCATTTATGTAAAAATGCCTAGAGAGCTTCTAACAAGTAGAAAGCACTCAACATTAAATAGTTAAAATCTGTTCCAAAATCACCTCATTTTTTCTGCTCCTGCTTTTAGAGAGTGATTGAATCTCTATACTGAATTGTCACCACATTATAAATGCTACGTAGGAAAAAAGCCTTTGATTTGTGACTTTAAAGGCTCTGTTAAACTGTCCCCAAAATGTTGTAAGATATCACTGTGTTAAGGGCCAGAGGGCTGGAAAGCCATGCTGGCATGTATAAGGGTGGGCACCTTGCTTGGTGAAATAGTTGCAGTGTATATTAAACAAATAGGGAGTATCCATACTGGGTATGACACAGCACCAGTATTCTAGCATTTATTATAGTCACTCAGTTGACATAATCATTTCAGTCTCCTGGAACCCAGGTCTCTATATCATTGACAATTTAAGTAGAGGATTGACCTTCCACTGTTCTGGAGGAAGTGGGGTGGTTGGGATCACAGCCTTTGTGTTCAGCAGACTGATGCTGGGTCCTGGTTCTGCCACTGCTCTAACTGGGTGAACTTGAGAAAGTCATAGTGTCTCTGAGCTTCACTGTCCTCTGTGAAGAGGGTTAGGGTAATACTTGCTGCCTTTGGGTCTTCATGTGGGTTGTGTGTGATAGACACAGAGAGGCCTTAGCACAGTTCTAGTCCTGCAACAAGTGCCTGGTTGTTAGGATCATCACGTTGTTCCCAGCATGGGCTGCATAAATCCAACCTGGGTACACTGTGCCTGCGCCCCGCCTTACCCTTTCTCTCTTGCGATGGACCTGAACGTGGAACTTGAGGGAGAAGTAGGAATGGGGAGTGCTCCAGGAGTCAGGATACTCCCAGGATAATTCCATCTGAGAGCCCCTCAAGGGCTTCAGCTGCATGTTTTTGGGTGGGTCCGGTTTGACTGCAGAAGAGGACAAACATCCTTTATTACCCTGCCGGGCTTTGGAGCCTGGGTTTAGCCTTCTGATCTTGGGTGACTGGTCCTTCCACTTTCAAGTCTCTATAGCTCCTCCACTTCTCTGCTCACCCAGGAAGCATCAGTGAGGTACCTCTGCTGAGGATGCTTCTTCCGTGCGAGGAAGTCACATTATTGGCCCCATCCTATATTTTTGAACATGTTCTTCACTGCACAGACTGGCAGGCCCTGATAGTTGAGTCATTCTGCTTAACAAAGACTCATAACTGGGCTCTGCAGTCAGGGACACCCTCTTCGGGATTGGTTCCCCACTTAGGCCAGCATATTGCTGGCCTAAGACTCACAGTCTATCGGGTGCCTCTACTTGACTCTGTCTGAGGATACAGTGAGTATCATGGTCTTCAAGTGGTACTTTCTTCTAGATGGAGAGACATCTCTGGAGTATGCTCCAGTTTAGGAAGTCTAGCTCCATTTCACACATTTTCCTGGTAGATGCTTCACAAATACCCTTCATAGTTTTGGTAATACGATGAGCAGTAATAATGTAAAAGTAATACAACCAACATCTTTGCTTTAGGCCTCTGCCAAACGTTATCTCCTCAGAGGGTACCTCCCTGATCATACCCTGTGAACAAGACCCACCCCTACCAACCACAGACTTTCTGAAAATTCCGCAACAAGGTCTCTGATCCCATCATGTCCTATCAGGAGGACCATTCCATCTGTGGTAAAGGAAATGAGAAATGACAAACTCTCTGTCTCTCCATTTAGAAGTAGCTGTCCAGGGGAATTTATAGCTATACACATGTATGTGGATTCTGGAGAAAAATGAGTTTCTGAAAACTGCAATTGGTGGGGAAGTCCTGGTCACAGTGTAGATAACCCAGTAACTCTCGGATCCATCACTCATCTATCTGGGTAGCAGATTAAACATGTCACAAAACCTGCTACATGAGGGAGATCAGGGTCTGGGCTGCCAGCAGGGAGACTGGAGATCTGGGGAAAGGAGGCTTAATCTCTCAGTTTCCTCCTCTGCAAAATGCAGACAACAGTGTCTGTTTCATGCCTTTTGGGGGGTGCAGAATAAACAAGACTGCAGGTGGCAAACAACATCTTTGCTTCCCAGGCACATGCTCCCCCACAAAACTTACTGATGTCCCGGATGAAGAAGCCGGTGCTGTAGTTCTCGTATTTATACTTGTGCTGGGCCTCCATCACCAGCCCGATGGGCAAGGTCTCCTCGGCAGTCGGGCAGGTGATGTCCTCCTGGCAGGCCACCGAGTACTTCTGATAGTCCTTTCGGTCCACTGTGACCTTCTCTGCAGACAGAGACGCTGCTCCACATGTCACTGCCCGGGAATCAGAGGAGCTGATGGCCAAGACAGAAATAGTTCTGTGTTACAGATCACAAAGCAAGTGCCTGGTGACTATAGTCTGTCTGAGAACAGACTGTGTAGCTGGTTAGATTTATCCTCTGGGGTTAAAAACAAACAGACACCCCCACCCAAACTAGCCCTTTCCAGCAGAGGAAGCCTAGCTGTAAGAGACTAAGACTTACATCTCTGGCCTAAAGGAACCCGGAAATGTTTCAATGCAAGAGAACCTACTTAAACCCCCTTACTGAAAATTTAAATCCGCTCTATATCATTCATAAGGTCAATAGGCACTAATTATAAAGAATTAAAATGACAAAGCAGGGACGGGCAGTGGTGATGCATGCCTTTAATCCCAGCACTTGGGAAGCAGAGGCAATTGGATCTCTGTGAGTTCGAGGCCAGCCTGGTCTATAAAGCAAGTTCTAGGACAGGCTACAAAGTCACACAGAGAAATCCTGTCTCAAAACAAACAAACAAACAAACAAAAACAACAACAAAACAAAATGACAAAGTTGTTTATAAAGAAAATATACGTGCTTCTGCCATCCCCATTTTAACTCAAATCTGAGTCCCATATATAGATATTATTTACAGTTTTCTAGAGTTTTTCAATGAATAGTCAAGATAACCATATACACACATACTTGCACATATTTATTTTTAACTGTGTTTCAGTATGCCTTTAGAAAACAAGAAAATTATATACATATAATTTTGTAACCATGTTTTCCTCTCTGAAAGTATTGTGAGGAGTTCTCTAAGCAGAACATGTAAATTGGGTTATTCTTTTCAATAAATGCACATGAATGCTCCATCTGAGCATTCTTTTGCTAATTATGCAAAATATTCCAGTGTCCCTTATCCATCCATGTACCAGTGTCTTCATGAGCCTGTGCAAGAATTTCTCTAGAAAGAAAATGCATTGTGCGTGTCTAAGGTTTGTTTGTTTTGCTTTTAAGCACATAGAGATGTGGCATGTTGCTATATGGTAGGCATCCTGCAATGTATGTGGGTCTACTTAGAGGCCACATTTACTGGCTCAGAAAGTTCTCATAAGAGCAGTGAGGACTCTGATGTCACCCTGAACCATTATTTTCCCTAGGTATGTTTAAGTCATAGCAAATTCATTAAAAATGGGGAAATGGGTCCCTAATTTACTTATTCAAACAGTAGTAGAGTTTGTTCCACTGCCCTCCACATGGCTCAGGAAGTTAGCTGAGAACTGAAGTCAGTGGCACAACAGCCTGACACAGCAGCTCTGCGATCCCGGGGAATGGTTTCTTAGAGAAAGTCCAAGAGTGCTGGGCAAACTGAACGTCAGAGTGGCAGTGTTGGGGAGGCAGAGAGAAGTTGAAAAGGCTCTAGGAAAATTTCTGAAGGCCTCAGAGGTTTCTGGAATATGCTTCAGGACTTCTGAGAGGGAGGCCCTAGGGCACTTGTTTCTGTTTTTGGCACAAGGCAGAGTTTTGGCAAATTATTTGTAGCTATGAGTTCTTTTTAATTTCTCCCCATGGTGCTGTGAGCCTTAACAAAACGCTGCCAGGCAATTTGGACGAGTGAATACAAACTCACCCGACAACTATTCTCAGAGGGCCAGCTTAAAGTGTTCCTTCCTTAGGCAAAATGATGGAAAGCAGAAAAAACAAAAACAAAAACAAAAAACAAAAACAAAAACCAGAATCGACTTTGCTGTCCAGTTCATATCATTCTCTGATAATCCACAGACAGTCTGTACTCATTTTCTTTGTGAAGCAGGTCTAGCCAAGTGTGAGAATCCGGAGCTGCTCCCTTACCTACTGCTGCTCTTGACGTTGAACTTCAAGTCAGTGCTGATTGCAGTCAGCCACCAGCAGGTGAACCGTCCAGAGTAATTTGCTGCCTCGCATTTCAGGAAGGTCTTATTTTTAGGATCTGTATTACAAAAGGAAAAAAACCCCAATATTTAGGAGTTTTCTTTTACTAAAGAAAGACCAGGGTTTAATTTTTTTTTATTATTATTGTGGATGAATCACAGGCCACTGAATGGTACAAGGGTGGGTTTTTTTTAGGACAAGGTCACATTTAGGTTGGACTGACAATATAGAAAGACATGGAATTCCTTATCCTCCTCTGAAGTACTGACAATAGGTGTAAACCACCATGTCCAGCTAGATGTAGTCTTTTTTTTTCTTTTTGTGGTGCTGAGGCTCGAGCACAGAACCTTGCACATGCTGGGCAAGCACTCTACCATTACACTATGTGCCACAACTGGTATTTTCCCATCAACTTCAATGGAAAAAGCTGCTCTGTTGGCACGTATTTCAGCACAGACTGGTAATATCTGGAGAGGGTGCTCCTCCCATAGAGTGTGGTATACTGCAAACACTTTATGTCCATTAGACAGAAATACTCTTTTTTTTCCAAGTTGTCACTCCAGTATTGAGTTATCAACTGGGCACATTGGCTAACTTTAACAGATATCCAATAACATCATTGTTACTCAAAGGAAACTTGAAAACATGCATTCAGAAAGACAACTCTCTCAATATAAGATATTAATGGCCAAGAGCCCAAGAATTCCAGGAAAGCCAAGGGAAATGGAGATTCTAGGGTTTATGGTTAATCATTAATAACTGCATTAACTATGTCCTACCTTTTCAATTTTTAATGTTTCTATTTCTTGGGAGGGACAAATGGGCTCTGAACATAGTGAAGTTGACAGAATCACTCTGTAAGCACAAGGACCCAAGTTCAGTCCCTAGTTAGGGAAGAATGCCAGGAGTGATGTCATGTGTTTGTACTCTCAGAGCTGAGGAGGCAGAGACGAGAAGATCTCTGGGTGCTACTGGCCAGCCAGTCCAACTTATCGGTAAGCTATGGGCCAATGGGTGTTATTGTCTCAAAGGAGATGCAAAGCATTTCAGAGAATAATACCCAACGTTGTCCTTTGGCCTCCACACATATATGTACCTGTACACATACACATACACACACACACACACACACACACACACACACACACACACACTACTTTTTTATTGAGGAGAGGTAGCAGAAAAGATACTATCTCAGGGAATGAAATTACCTTTCTGGTCCTTTAAAATATCAGTGGACCAAATTCCATTTTCCTTCTTGTGAAGCAGCAGTCGTGAGTGGCTCAGAGTCTTGCCTCCTTTGTGGCAGGTGTATTGGCCAGCATTTGAAAACTCTTTGACTTGGATGGTCAGGGTTTTCCCAGAGCCTACAGCTTCACTGTTCTTGTCTGAGGTCCAGATGATATCATCTTCTTCAGAAGTGTCACAGGTGAGGACCACTCTTTCTCCAGCGGCATCAGGAGACCAGTCCACCTCTACAACATAAACTGGAGAGGACCAGCAGTGAAGACCTGAATGGTCAGCTTCATGAACTCTGGAACTAGGTTCCGTTTACTGTCTTGGTATCCCCACTGCCTGGGCACGTCATAGCTCACAAAAGTTTTGCAAATGCTAAGATGGTTTTAGGGCATGGAGCCCTGTCTGGACTCAAGGTCACAGAACAGAGAAACAATTTTATAGCTGCCACCAAGTCATTAACTGGCAGATGGCCTATGACAATTAATCCCTGATTAGCAGGCCATAGGGAAAACCTTGAAACATAAAGTTGCAAACAGCACAAGATTTGTTGTTAGAGGTTGGGGAGTGGAGGTGCAGTGGGGTAGGGAATAAATTTCCAGTTGCAGTTCACAGGGAATATGGCTAGGCGTAGTGTTGAGCAGAGTAAAACAGTGGTTTAAAGCGTAGGTATGGAGGAAGACACACCAGGAAACTCAGTCTCCTCTAATAGGATTTTGGGTAAGCTACTGGTCCACCAGAAGCCTTGTAGTCCTTGCAAGACGATGGAAACAATAGTGTGTATGCATGTAGATTTGGCTGTGTAGATAGATGGGAAAAATCATGCACCTCAGCACAGTAACTACAACATAACTCTGTGCTAGCTTCACCATCATCATCATTATCACCATCACCACCATCGCCATCCAATGACCAAACAGTCAGGCAAATGCACTGAAAAACTCTTAAAAATTATCCAGGAAGATTTAAGGTTTTAGTCTCTTCTGCATGAACCTCATCAGTGGAGATTGTCATTAGTTGCTTTAAAAAAAAACCAAAAAACCCCCAAAAAACAAAAACAACAGGGTTTGTCTGTGAAGCTTTGGATCCTGTCCTGGAACTCGCTCTGTAGACCAGGCTGGCCTTGAACTCACAGAGACCAGCCTGCCTCTGTCTCCCTAGTGCTGGGATTAAAGGTGTGCATCACTACCTCCCCGCCATCAGCTGCCTTTTTAAAGAGCTAATTAATGCCAGTATGGATAAATAGATGATAGTTTCTTTGTTTTTTGAAGGAAGGTGCTGATGCCAAAGAGCTAAGCAAGGTCCCATCAGGCGTGAAGTGTGACAAAAGCTGTATTTCATATCTTTTGTCTCCTGAGCTATGTGATGGATTTCTAATGCCAGTTTCTAAATGAGCCCCCAAAAATAGCGCCATAAAGTATTCTGGAGAGTGCTAGATCAAAGCTTCATTCATCTGATTATCCACATATCTATTACTAATTGAAAGAATAGCTTAATGCAGCGGTTCTCGAAGCTTGGTGGAATCCCAGCTTCCATCATCAGCATCACCAGGAAACTCATCCGCAATTCTGTGTTCTTGGTTGCTGAGTCAGAAGTGTTGGGATGGCCCTAGTGGCCCATTTGGTAAGCCTAGATTATCTTGATGTCTGATTAAATATGGAAGCCACAGTGGTGAGGAGCTGGGGCTTTGGAATGGCGCAACAATCAGAACCAGCCAAAGGCCTCAAGAAAGCCTTGGGTGTGGGAAGGGACTTTAAGCTTAGTCTCAGTGTCACCATCTTACTTTAGAGAATTTCACTTTGTAGCCCAAACTGGCCTCAAACTCAGGGCAGTCTTCTTGCCTTGACCTACCAAGTTCAGGGATACAGGCATGAACTACCATGCCTGGCTCTGATGTCATTATTTTTAAAATGAAAGTAAAATATTAGTGCTTTCTTTAGAAGGTGGCATATAAACTAATTGGTATGCAAGCTTAAGACAGTCCCCTCATGTTCCCTGTGAATGGTGGCTTTGTGATTGCCATTCACATATAAAGCTTTGTGAAATGCAAAGCTCTCACTTCAAGTCAGTGGGATTTGTAGGCCCTGAATGGGAAGCAAAGATAAGAGGTAAAAATCACTTGAGGCCAGACTCTTTGGAAATCATTAGCCTGGGCTGACACCAAACCACAGGAACCTTGGCTTCCTCCTGGTTCTCTTTGTTCTCCAGGCAACTGAGCAGCACTGCACTTACTTTCCTGTTAGAACCTGGACCTGGAAAGTCCAGAAGACCTTGGCCTAAGGGCAGGAAAAGAGCTCTCTGGGGATGTTGGAAGCAGAGATTAGGTGTCCGCTGGGCTGCAGGCCAACACTGTGATTCCATCACAAGCCTTCTCTGTGTTTCTCACATTGATTTTCTGAAACTTCTGTGGTTTACTAGTCAGAAGTGATGATGATGAAGGCGTTAACTCTGCCAGGGCCTCGGTTCCTTCCTAAGCACTCTAACAATCCCCAGGTTGTAGATCTGGCTATGCCAATGGCTTTACTTAGGAAAGGGTCCAAAACTCTGTTGGGATGGGTGGCCAGACTTTGTGAGATTATCATTTTTAAAATAGCATTTAATTCTTCCGTGTGTGTGTGTGTGTGTGTGTGTGTGTGTGTGTGTGTGTGTGTGTGTGTGTATGTACCACAGCTCATGTCTGAGGATCAGAGGGCAGTTTGGAGAGATTGGCCCTCTCCTTCTATCATGTAGATCCCAGTGATCAAGTCCAGGTTATCAGACTCGGCAGCAAGCATCCTTACCTGCTAAGTCATTTTCTAGCTTCCGTGACTCTTTGGAATGAAAACACTGGCCTCAGTTTTTTTTTTGGGGGGGTGCCAATTTTGGTATTGTACTGTCTGGGTTCTTAAAAATTATTTCTAATCATCACCAAAGAAATCTTTTCATTTTAAATTTATGCCCATTTCCTCTTTACGGTCACAGGAAAGAGTTACTTCTTACCCTCCGTGTAAATCATCTAGCGCTTAAACACTCAGGCTCTGAAGTGAGATTAAATGGGATCAAGTCCTGTTTGTAGGCAAATTACTTAATCTCCTGAGCCTCAGCTTTCAAAATCTGTAAAATGGAATACTGATAGCTCCTACTTTATATGGTTGTTATGAAGTTAAATGAGGTTCTATGTTCAATAAATATGTAACATGTAAATACTACAGGACATGCGGTGGTTTGAAAGAAAATGACCTTCAAAGGGAGTGGTACTATTAGGAGGTGTGGCTTTGTCGGAGTAGGCATGGCCTTGTTGGAGGAAGCATGTTGCTGTGGGGGTGGACTTTGAGGTCTCCTTTGCTTAAGCTATACTCGGTATGGTAGACAGTTTACTTCCTGTTGCCTGTGAACCAAGATGCAGGACTCTCAGCTACTTCTCCAGCACCATGTCTGCCTGCACACTGCGTGTCCCATCATAATGATAATGGACTGAATAAGCCACCCCAATGGGATGTTTTCCTTTGTAAGAGTTGCTGTGGTCACAGGGTCTCTTCACAGCAATAGAAACCATAACTAAGAAAATGTAGCTATAAAAGCAGAAATGACCAACATTATTACATTGGATTTATGAAACATTTGAGATTCTTTTAGGAACATCACAGGACTGAGCTGATGCGTTTGCTATGTGTGAGACAGTACAAGGACAGAGAGCACTCCTTGCAGTTCCAACACTGTTTATTAGTCTGATAATAATCTTACTGATATTGGGACAATGGAAAGTTCGGAGACTTTGTTTTAAACAATAGGGCTTGCTCAAATTTACATTCATTTTACCATATGCTGTCTTCTGTATTCATTAATGGATTCAATAGCCTCTGTGGTCAATGCCAATATTGACACCCAACTAAGAAAAAGAGGCCATGAGGTTATCCAGCTCAAGGTTTTAGAATGAATACCTGGAAGAACCCTGTTTTGAACCAAAGACAATATGAATTTCAATCACAAAGTGGTGCGACGAAAACCATCACAGCACCACTGAGCAGACAATGTAATATGGAGGAGCAGGGGAGGCAGATGACAATCTTGCTACTTGTAAAATCCTCTACTTGGAATTTTCAGTTGTTTGACTGAGTCACTTCCTAGTATTACAGGCCAAGGTTATATCCCCTATGCCATTACAGTTCACCCGAAGCGCTTTTCCCGTTGTCCAACGTGAAAACCAAACAAGGCGGAGACCGATCCCAGAGATGGAAGGAAGGAGGATAGCCCTGTATCTTCCCCTGAGGAAAGGCTTTCCCAGGAGACCCTGCGCATGCCTGTCCCCTTCAGTTTCCTTTCCTAGCAGCTGTCTTGAGCTCAGGCTTAGAACTTGGAGCTCCATATAGAAAACAAGGCAAGATTGCTTACCGTCTTTCTCCAGCTCCCATATGGCCATGAGTGGAGACGCCAGCAGAACCACAGCAAACCAGGAGATGGTCAGCTTCTGGTGACACATCTGTATGGACAAGCAGGAGGAAGAGGAGGAGGAAAGGGAAGGGAGAGGAGGGAAAACAAGACAGAGAATGCCAACCATTAGCCAGTTAACCAAACCCACGCTTCCTCTGCCTTCTAAATGTTGTCTTTCCCCTTTCTTTTCCACAATGACAAGCTAGTAGGATTATAGGAGATCCATTCTATCTTTGGGAGAAAAGGTCTCCAAATGGTGAACCACAGGAGGCTACCTGGAACTGAAAGAATCCCATTGCCCAGCCCTCTGATAGTATTTTGTTTTTAAAAACATGTTTTTATGTCTATTGTATGTGTACATGTGTGCATGTGTACATTAGCATGTGTGGCGGTCAGAGGACAACTTTTGGGAGTTGATTCTTTCCTTGCACTGTGGGTTCAGGGCTCAAATGCAGGTAGTCTTCATGCTGTGCACCAAGACATTTTACTTGCTGAGTTTGTCTTGCTGATAATTCCCTCCTCCTTTCCTTCTCTTTTGAGACAGAGACTTAGCCCTGGCTGTCCTGAAACTCACTCTGTAGACCAGGCTGGCCTCAAACCCACAGAGATCCACCTGCCGCTGCCGCCTGAGTGCTGGGATTAAAGGTGTGCACCCTCACACCTGGCTCAGAAACATAAACTTAGAGATGGAGTGTGGCTTCCTGGACCCATGTTCAGCTCTTACTTACCTAGTTCTGACTGAATATTAATATAGCACTCAAAGAGCACTGAACAGAGTGGGAAAAAGGCTTCACCTGCACGCTGATTTCTGGAACCAATACTGTGGTGCTACAAATATTTACTCAGACAATTTGAGCTCTGCTTCCCTCTCCTTAAGCAGCTGTATCACTGCCCAGCATTTGGAATGTACTGGGATGGTGTAGGCGAAAGGACCAGGTGAGGTGTGGGAAAGGTAATGTATGGGTAATCTTTCAACTTCTGGCAAGAACCTGTAGTGGCTTAGGCCTCTTCTTTTTTTATTTAATTTCTTTTATTTGAATTAGAAACAAGCTTTCTTCACATGTCAATCCCAGCTCACTCTCCCTCCCCTCCTCCCTCCCGCCCCCCACCAACTACACCCAGACCCCCATCCAATCCCCCACTCCACTCCTCAGGGAGGGTGAGGCTCTCTCCGTGGGGGATCTCCAAAGTCTGTCAAATCATCTGGGGCAGGGCCTAGGCTCTCCCCCATGTGTCCAGGCTTAGAGAGCATACCTCCATGTGGTATGAGCTCCCAAAGTCCATTTGGATGCCAGGGATAAATACTGATCTATTGCCTGAGACCCCAAAGAATGTCGAGGCCTCCTCACTGACACCCAAGTTCAGGGGGTCTGGATCAATCCCATGCTGGCCTCTCCCCCCTTGTTCAGGTCAGCTGTTTCTGTGGGTTTCACCAGCAAGGTTATGACCCCTTTGCTCATTGCTCCTCCCTCTCTGCAACTGGTTTCCCAGAGTTCAGTTCAGTGTTTAGCTGTGGGTGTCTTAAACCTAGGCAGAAATCACTCCAAATTCTAAAATAGTTCTCACCCTCATAACAAAACTGAGAATTTTGTAAGCCTGAGTGTATGGTATAACCCAGACTTATTAAGACTACTGAGTCTCAACCCAGAGTATCTGATTTAACATGTCTTGAAGGCTTCAGAAGTGGAGGCTTCTGGTCCACGAAACACATTATAAGGAAAACATGTTAGCCAGCATTTAAGGTTCAGAAATCCTACAAGTAAAAGTGTTTTTTTGCCAGAAGAACATAACATGGACCCACCACGAAATATTGAAGTAGATAAATCAGCCACCATCTTATATTGAAACCCAGTTTAGATTAACACCCAGAATTAGCAGAAGTCTTTCAACTGTGGAGTTTATACCTCACTCATAAATGTGGTTGAGATAATTAGTGTCTAATTAATTCCCTTTGGAAACACCTCCCTCTATCTTGGAGGATGCTACCATCTGGCAAGGACAAATTTTGAGAGACCACAGGTCTAACCCATGTAAATTAAGGCTTAAATATTCTAGGTAAATACCTTAAACATGAACATGCATTGGTTCAAGATCATGGCTTTGTCAGAACTACTACTAACCTTCGTGGACCTTGCTATGTTCTCTCTCTTCTTACAGACATCAGTGACAGAGACAGAGCCAGAAGCCAGCCCTTGTCCAGGTCCAAGTTATCATACAGCCAAGCACTAGCTGAAATGGACACTGGTTGGTACATGCTTGGAGTCAAGCAGACATGGGCTTAGATTCTGGTCCTACTACTCAGGTGCCAGTCTTGTTCCTCTGAGCCCTACTCTCTTTACCTATTAAAGGACAGAGTAAAGGGTTATGTGGCCTTAAAGGGCTGGGAGGTGTGCAGTGAAATGGTATAGTATAGTAGGCAACTGATGTTTTGTTACCTTGCACTAGCAACAGAAGAACTAGGGAAATATTTGAAACTCTTTCGGCTTTGAATACAGAGGGTTTGAAAATAAAAATCTGCTAGGCTGTAGAGAGATGCTCAAGGAAGACAATTATACATGTCTGTAAAACCCAGATGGCAGCACTCTGGGAAGGGAAATAGACAGAGATTCCTGGCATCTCCTGGTGATCTCTTCATATGCTCTCGGAACAGGGATTTTCCCCTTTGGTTACATGCCAGGCATTTCTTTGAGCATCACACGTGGACCATATTGGTTGGAGGGAGCCCTGGCAATGGTCCAAGGAACAGTCTTCATCCCAGCATCACCTACATCTTAGATCACAGAAACCCAGCAGAGGGGAGAGATGGTGGTGGGTTGCCTCTTAACCAAGCCCACACAGGCAAAATGGGTGCAGGGTGGTGACCAAGCTTTGTCTTTCTGGCTGAGCAGCAGACACTGGGGTGCTGTATCTCACTCCACAGTGGTTTTAGTTTGTTTGTTTGTTTAACATGATTTCATTAGTTTTCTAAACTCCTGAAATTTTTGTACAAAGGACACAGGAACCCTACATTAGAGAGTCCAGCTTCCTAGAGTATGCAAATGCTCCAAAACATTGCTGCCAACCTGGGCACAGGGTACCTGAATGGACATTCCCTTTTGCAAGTTTCGTCCTGTCATTTTTTTTAATTAAAAAAGAGAAATAGTATTTAAAAGCAAGAATGCTCAGAAAAAACAGCACACACAGTGCAGATGGCCTGAGAGGCATGGGCAAAGGGCTGTGCTTCCAGAGCCCGGCAGACCTCTCTCTGTCCCTTGTTAGTTATGTGACCCTGACAAGTTGTACTGACTTCTTCGTACCTTATACTTCTAGACTGTAAAATAGAAACCCTGTCAGGAGAGCAGTTCATGAAACAACCCATAGAAAGTGCCAGTTTGATGACCAAATGGAACCAGGACCTCAAATACCTAGTCTTCTCTACCCTCAGAACTTACTGCAATGATAATAATTTGGTTACACATTTAATATCTATTCTCCCTATACTGAGGTCTGATGGCAGAACTTATGTCTGTCTTGCCTTATACCCAGAGTCTAGTCTAGAGGGAGTCCATAGATAATTGGCGCAATAATCACAGCATTTCGGATTCTAGCAGAATGAATCTCAGAGGCAACCTAACCTCATCTTGAAATGCTGCTTGAACACATCGAGCCACCAGCTGAGGCTTAGTGGTTACTGTGTAAAAACTTGATGTCAATCTGACCCCTCTGGCGGCCCTGGTTTTACCTGGGCAAGCAGAAGAAAGCAGCTTGTGAATATGGACTCTCGTCCCTTTCCTCCCAGATTTTAGAACCCCTTAGGAAGGCGTTTTGAACACGACTGAGGTGTTTCCGTTTCGAAGAGGGGTGAAGTTAGTTAAAAACCCACAAGAACCACAGAGCCCAGCCAGTCAGTTTGACTATCACAGCTGACTTTCTACCCATCAGAGGGAGGGAAGCAAATGTGACGTTTAGTTATGAGTCCAGTAACTGTAAGGAGTGCAGGAAAGACTTTTACAAGTTTCACTAGTAAGGCAAGAACAGAACTTAACTATATATACTCTGTAAGGGACAGGCATTAATTAGTACTTAAGAACACACACATGTGTGTATGTGTCTATATAGAAAAAGCAGACCGGTCTATCAGGTACACATTATTAATAATTTAGTAGTTCATTCTTTTTTTTGAGACAGGGTCTCAAACTCATCACATATTTGAAGCTGGCCTTAAAACCCCCCAAATTTGTTCATTCTGCCCTCACCTCCCTAATTCAGGGATTATGGGTGCGCATAATCACCTCTTTAATGAGCTAACTGTTTAAACGAACACTTGAAACCTCTGTCCCCAGAGTACCTAGTTTTCACCATCAGGTGAGCCATCAGTGACGTTGTCCAGACCCTCTTACCCCCACTCCCATGCTGCCTGGTTCAAAGGTAGCATAACCACTGGAGTCTGTACCTGGACAGGCTTTAGGCTCAGGGAATCAGAGGTCAGGAACAGGGGAGTACTCACCTTGCTTGGCTGCAGGCTGCCTGATCTGGTGTGCCTCGACCACTGTTCCTTCTGCAGCTGCTATTGCTCCTAGAGCTTATATACTCTACTCCTACAGAACTTTCTGATGGAAACCCAAACTAGAAACTGACTAGTCCCAATTGCAACATTGAAAACTAGTGTCAAAACATTTTGGGGAATTTTAAGAAGTTCCTCCCCCCTCCTTGTTTCTCTGCATGCACCCATCACACAGAGGGAATATAGACATCGAAATCCCAGGTAAGAGGAAATGAATTCGGGGTGTGGAAAAAGGAAGGAGACAAATGCTAATTTCTGTTTACATCACGCCCAAGGTGAATAGAGACAGGCATGGCCAACCTCACCAGGATTCTACAGACTGGGGAAGAAGCAGTTCGTGTCCCTCAGCTGAGTTCATGGTTCAAGGCACAGTCAAACGATGAGGTGCTGCGGTCCCTCAGGAACAGTCTACAATTCGGAATTCAAGGCAGATGAGACTACTGGCAAAGAGCCTAGTGTGTCTGGGCCAGATTTCCCTATTAGCATTTGGGTTCAGAAGCTACTGCCACCTGTTTGACTTGGTGCACACACACCCCTCCACCTCTGTTGTCTGTATCTAGAGGCAGCCGTAGGGAGGTGGAAAACGAATAAGATTCACTGTGTATTGAGGCATCTTCTATGGTCATAGGCCCTTACTTAACAGACAGATGATAACATGAGCTGAACAAGTCACGGCAAACTTACAGATGACTGATGCCACACTCAGAAGCCACCCTTTTGGATACCCAGAGTATATCATTTCATTAGTCACATGCCTGTGGTCCTATAAACCCTGTGTAATTCTCCTCTTGAAGAATTTAAAATTTGCAAAGAGAGGCGCAATGGTGTACATGATGTTAACTCCCTTCCCCATCTGCACCCAAAACACCAGTTCTTGGGTTCTCAGACAGATGTGGGCCGCTCTCAAAGTTGCCCATAGAGGGCGCTTCGGCGAAGACATCCTCGCAGTTGGGACGCACTAGGCTGCTTCTCCATTCCTGTCCCAGGCATGGGTCTCCGCCGCCTGGGAAGTTCCTAGGGCTGAGGCTGGACCCGGTCAGGTTTCGGGCGGTGCAGATTTCCGGGCTAACTTTCTTCGAAGTGTCAGCCTGCCTAGGGGGGGAAACGGGAAACTTGGGTGAGAACTGCGGAGCTTCCCAGCTGCAAACTTCCTCCCTCCTGCAGCCCAGCTGCAATCCCTCTGGTTCTGACCGGCTTCAGGCTGAGGGTGGAGACACCAGTCATAGCAAGGTAGCTAGTAGCCTCCCTGAACTTGAATCCTAGGCTTCGAGTGGAACTGGTTTTGTATACAAGATAATTCTTAAGTGAACATACTAGGTTTCATTGATTATTGGTTGTACTGTGTTGTGTTGTGTGTATGTGTGTGTGTGTGTGTGTGTGTGTGTGTGTGTGTGTGTGTTTCACAACTGACACGGAAGGGACTTTCTGTGGTTCCTGAATTTGATTGTTACAACAAATATTTAAATATGTAACTACTTGGGCGTGGGTGTGTATCCGTCTGAAATAAAGTTTGACATGCCCCCAACCAATCACTAGACGGTATTGAGCAGCTAAGGTGATATGAAATTGATATGGGACTATTTAGGGTAATTATATCACAGTAGCTGAGCCCTCACACCTTTCCCCTATAAATATACACTAACATGAGCTAAGACTACCCCCTAGATGACTAATATTTTATTCATGTTCTCATAAGAGCATCTTCAAAATTTTGGAGATAAATGATTGATAATATAAAAATCTCAGTAAAAAAAATAATGTGCTGGTTATGGCAAAGCTCTGAGGGCAGCCATAGTCCCTGTGACTGAGAGTCCTGGTCAGGCTGATCCTACGTGCGAAGCTCAGGGTCACCTCTGTCCATCTCACCCATGGAGAGATCGGTAATACATTAGATCATGGTCTCTGGTCTCTCTGAAAACTGGATCCAGCACCTTCTTGGCAAGCTACCTAACCTTGCTGAGCCTCACAGCTGCTGGGCAGGGTTAGGAAGTGCTCTCTGGGCTTAGATCAGCTGTGAAGATGAAAGGGATTTCATGGTGTGTACCAGAAAGAGAAGTCCGGGGCTGAAGAATCTCTCCTTAGCCTATTTATTTATTTATTTATTTATTTATTTATTTATTTATTTACTACCCCAGCCTGTCCCTGGAGGGCTTTAGGTGGCTCACAGGGCAAGGTCAAAGACGGCTGGAGGAATAGGAGACACAAGGGTGTGATGTGGGGAGTAACAGTGGGGCTCCCAAGCAGGTTTCCTCATGAAGCTGCTCGGCTGTAGTTGAGCTCATTTGGCTTGGAGCCTCCAGGCGGCTAAGACAAGTAAGATAAACTTGACTTCATCCCATGAGCCTGTTTTGATAGGTTCAGCTCACCCACAGGGGAAATAGTTCTCAAAGTGTATCTGCATTTGACAACAAAATTCAGCTTGCTAGACCTCAAACTAGGAGACTCATTCAGTAGCCCTGGAGTGGAGACTCATTCAGTAGCCCTGGAGTGGAGACTCATTCAGTAGCCCTGGAGTGGAGACTCATTCAGTAGCCCTGGAGTGGAGACTCATTCAGTAGACCTGGAGTGGAGACTCATTCAGTAGACCTGGAGTGGAGACTCATTCAGTAGACCTGGAGTGGGGTCCAGGGCTCTCCCTTTGAACTAGGGCACCCATGTATCAGGTTCTATGTAGGTACCAAAACTGACATTTTGAGACATTCTACACACCTGTGTCCCATTGACTGACATGACATCTGTTGCCTCATTCATTTTGAACATTCTACAAAGGCCACCAGACTCCAGGATGATGCCAACCCGCACCCTTTAACCCAATTTCTCTGAAGAGATCTGTCAGCTCCTCCCAGATCACATGCACATGCCCTGATGCCCTCCTATGGGAGACGGAGGTCTGGTGATACAGAGCATGCATGCTAAAAGCTATTAGGCCAATAGCACAGAGATTAGGCTGTGGCAGGGACCTCATCCATCTCCCCAGCCCCCCTCCCCGTCCCTGTTCGTAGCTGAGAATCACTGGAAGAATATATTTGGACCCCAAACCCTCTTCCCTTACCAGAAGATGGCTATAAGCTTCCAGTATACATGTCAAATACAGTATAAGTTGTGTATGCTATAAAACATTAGTGTTTAGACAATGCAGAACAAGACATGCATTCATGGTATTCTCAAAAATCCACAACCCAAATATACCTTCACTAAGAAGCTGAAGCTTTGATATAGGGATTCCTAGCAGTACACATTACCAAGTTTTTGGTGTGTTCCTGTAGAGCCCCCTGAACCCCCGTATATATTTATGCATTTGGCTGTCTAAGTGGGATCTTGTTACATGAACATTCCTTTTATATGTAGTGGGTGATAACTGGACAGGATTGAGTTCTATCATGATCCAAGTTTAAATTGCAGTTCCAAGAGTTTTCTTGAATACAAACCTTCCACATGTTAGTCAAGAGTCCTACCACCGTTATATCCACAGTCCTACAGCTGCCTATAGTGTATACATGGCTTACTAAGGAGAATATGTTTTCAGTCCCTGAAAGTTGGGTTTTCTCTTTAGCTGGGCATAAAGTCCCAATCCCAGAGGAATGGGTATGTCAACTAGGTGACAATAGGTGAGCAATGGGGAGTAATAGGTATTGGCTAGGTAAACCTGATGGTTAGTGCTGACATGAAATGAAGAAATGGGGTGATTGGATGATGAGAAATAAGGCTTCCTCCTCAGCCCATCCACTTACAGGAGATGTGTCTGCCCTAAGGTTATGATTGCTACTCCCCTTGCCTCCTTACAGATACAGATTCTTGAACAGGGAAAACATCAGGAGTGTATGTGTCAATGTGTGACTGGATGATGGTTTTGTGTGTGTGTGTGTGTGTGTGTGTGTGTGTGTGTGTGTGTGTTTTATGGCTTCCTATTTTCCCCCAAATGTCTATAATGAATTTGTAACACTCTTTAAAAAATATTGGGTTTATGTATGTGTACATGTTGTTTGTGTACATCCATGTATGTGTAGATGTGTACAAATGCAGGCATGTATGGAGCCAGATGATGTTGGATTGCTTCCTTAATTGTTCTTCACCTTAGTTTTCTTAAAAATTTAAATCACATTTTATTGTGTGTGTAAATGTATGTGTGTGTGTGTGAGAGAGAGAGAGAGAGCGAGAGAGAGAGAGAGAGAGAGAGAGAGAGAGAGAGAGAGAGGGAGGGAGGGAGAGAGAGATGCACACCTGTGTAAACAGTATATTGGAAGTGGTTGTCTCCTACCATGTGGCTCCCAAGGATTGAACTTAAGTCGTTAGGCTTAGAGGTAGGCATCTTTCCCTACTGAGCCATGCCACTAGTCCACCATCTTATTTTTGAACCTGGAGCTGACCAAATGACTGGACTGGCTGGCCAGTGGGCCTCAGGATCTTCCTGTTTCCATCACCCCAGCACCATGATTACTGGCACATTCTGATGTGCCACGTTTTAGATAGGTTCTTGGGATCAAATCCAGTTCTCCATGCTTTTACTGGAAGCACTTTATACACAGAGGCATCTCCCTAGTCCCACATGCCACTTTCCTTATTGAACAAAATATCTGAAAGAAGAGGCGAATGAGTCAAGGTAGTGGAATTCAGACCTAGGTGATCATGATTCTACTGCAAATTCAATTGATATAACATTTCCTGCATACAAATCACCAGGGTGAGGAGAAGCGTGTGCTGCCCCAGATGAGCTCACTTGGATTCTCACATGTCCTTCAAGCCTGTGCCTGCCCCTTTAATGCTTTGAATAGCATATAAAATTAACTTCATTCTTAAAGGGATTAAGATATCTTCAAACCAGCCTCCTCCCCAATAGTGACTGAGGATATTTCTGTCTGGTCATACTTCCTCTCTCGGCCCATGAGAGGAAGGCAGAGGGTGTGGAATGAAGCCAGGACTGTTTCATCATCCCAGTGGTCACCTGGGCCTGCTCAACTGCACTGACTGCAGGGTAAAGTA